ACAAAGACTGGAATCAATGTCGACCGGGGTCTCTTGTTAAGTTGTTAATGTTCTACCGAGCTAAACATAAATGAGTATGAACAAGAATAATAAAACAAACTATATCTCAAAAACAATGAGTCTGTTAATGATTAAATTCCTTATTTTAAATTTTCACTATTTGACCTATCTTCATTACTAAAAAGAGACAGAGAAAAAGTGCGGAGCAGTTCGTCGTAGTTCGATATTTTCTTTGATGATGTGTACATTGCACACGTCTAATTCATAATAGGTCAAACTTGATCGATATTTTAGGATTTGAATTTTCATATAGCTTTTGATTGCAATAAAAGTGTTTTGTCTTACTGATCGAAAGATCATATATGATTAATTTTATATTTATTCACTAACATAGCTAACAAAAGTGGACTTCAATACTCTATCAGAAAGTATGTCAAAGATCGAAACAAACAATCAGAACTTGTTTTTTTCCTCGAGATAATGATAGTATTTGTTAATTAATTTATGCTACGAACAGTGTTTTTGGATAAAAGTAACTTTTTTCGTGTTTTGTGATGCCTGTACCTTCCGAAGGGAAGGTCATAAAAAACGCAACGATCACTCATCTTGTTCAGAATTTTACGCTCTTTAAGATGGCATTATCAAAGAACAATTTCTACAAAGTCTTCAAGAACCTGAAAAATACGGTTTTCAGTTTTTTTAAAAACCTTACTGTCATAATCTATCGATGAAACCCTGGTATATAATGTGTTAGATAGAGCTCTTCATTGGCTATTCAAATCACTATTTGGATGTCTTCAACAAATCATTTTGAATAAAATAATTCATAAAATAAAAAAGAATTTAGCGAAGATATTTATCAACATATAGTGTATAATAACTGTAGCAATAAACTGAACGAGTAGCTTACTGACAACTTTGATATTTACGTTTATTGAGCGACTTTATATGTGTCTACATCGCATACAACACAAATTTTCATAAAAGTGAGATTAAAGCAAATAGGTCGTCTGTCGGATTGATGTACCTAGATGAAAAAAAATGTCCTAGAGAGGTGAATAGCATTACATTTTGTAGAGAAATGTTTCTGCTAGCAATCTAAATAATTCATATTGAATTCTATTGACAAACGATAGGAGATGAAAAGCTTGAGTTTTAAGTTTTCCAAGTGATTCTATCCTTGAATCTCTCATCTTCGAAAGTAAAATTTCGTTGTATAAGAAACGATATACATCTACCGGATGTGACAAAATTTTTGCGATATTGTTCAAGAACATAATAAAACTTTAATCTTTTTCTCGAAGCGTAGACTGTTGAATATTCTAGTTGAACCACGAAATCAAATCTATATAGTTATTTTTGAAATTTTAATAGACTGCTAATATCGAACAAGTGTACCATCATGTTATTTCCTATTAAGAGAAAGCCGAAAATTATTGAATTTTGTATATTCATTTTGACTATAATGTTTAGAATCAATCAAAGACTTTTCTGATGAGAAGTAACACGATGATCCACATGTTCATTGATGATGATTATGAATCAAAATTTCGAAAAATAGCTATAAAAATTTATTCTAATAAACCAATTAAAATATTCAATGGTGCAGCACTTTGAAATAAAACGATATATATAATATAAACAAAGAACATTCTTTTTGAATGATTTCTTTCTAGTCAAGTAAAATCATAGATTCAATTTTGTATATAACGTTCTTTTAGACTATCTAAATATATTTTATAGATCATTTTTATTTCCTTACATTAATCCGCATCTTTTTTTTTACTATATTTTCATTAGATTTGTCATGTAAGGTATAAAATACTATACAATCGAGTAAATTATAAATAAATATTGTGTTTTTTTTTCTTTTTGTTTATTTGATGATCGATAAGATTAAAGAATAACATATATGTTTATATATATTTCTAATGAGAAAGGTAATTTATTGATCGTTTCGACAATGCAAATCATATTAAAGAAAAACAAAATCTGAGTGTCAAATGATTTGTCAAAAAATGTGCCAAGCTTAAACATCCCTACCGTAGTGGGTGATGATGAAACGAAGAAAAACAGGAATCTTACTTGCTTTCACCTTATTCCTTTTTTTTCTGCTATTTACCTTCAAACATCGCATTGCGTTTCAATTTTTTTTCATTCTTTTACCTAAAATAGTCCAACTAATGCTCGTATCATGGCAATTCTATGTCTTGTTTCCTTTTAACGTTTACCATTTAAGAAAAAATAAAAAAGCAAAAGAAACAAAGTAAAAAGCAATATGCATGTATGAATAGATAGAATTCTTCAGAAACAAAAAGAAAAATACTGTTCGTGTTCGAAAGCCATTCTTCTTTAGTATTTATTATTGAATGCAGAGAAAAAAAAACAAGACATAAACCAATCACTAGAGAAATTTAGTGCTTGCTGTCAAAAAAGCAATCAAAGGTTTCCGTTCAAAGTTCCATTTGCTAAGTATATATCATTTTAATCGATTTAGATTTACTGATATGAATTATATTATCAAAGTAGACATATAGAACGAAAAACTCATCAATTTAGTTATTTATTTTGATTTCAACAATAAATCATTAAAATATATATAAATATATATAATTTTGTGTTGCTGAATTATTTACTAATTTCAAAAATAGAAATAACTAAATGAGTTTTTGTTGATAAATAAGATCAATAAGACTAATAATAAATATAATTGAATGAATTGGATATTCAAAACCACAACCATGTGGCATACCATTTTTTGATTCTTCACGTAAAGCAACACCATACCTCCATGATGAGCTGCTCGATCAAGTAATAATTGATGTTTTTGAACAAATTGTCATGCATGGAATGCATGATATACACATTTAATTGCTCGATGAAATCCACTAAAATAAAAATTTATTATAAACATAGAAAAAGAAAACATACAATAAATTTACTCTAAACATCCAATTAATATTACAGTATTCATAGTAAAATGAATACCAGTTAATTGACCTTTTGTTAAACCAAAAGTAGTTAAGAGAATATATAATATCATACCGATAAATAAACCCTATAATTAAAAAGACCAAAAAAAAACTTTTCTTGCTGTCAAAAGTCATTTTTATAAGCGATCACGAATATTGATTTTATTCTTATACAATTTATAAAATGTATTAATCGATTAGATCAGAACAAAAAAAAAGAATCTTTGTTTTATTTTCATGAATGAATTATTTCAACCTTCATAAATAAACATAACTACGTAATTTAAATAGAATTATATTCCGTTAAAATTTTAATTTTTCGATTCTCTCCGGTTATTTTATTATTCGAATATGATTATATTTGAACTAGAATACAGGCTACTTTAGGCAAAAAAAAATATGACATATCCACCTTGCATTTACCTTTGATTATTTACAAAGGTTATTTTTTCTGAATAAGTTCATTTAACATACATATACGAAAAAAAAAATGTTGACTCTCATCTCAAGATTCTAAAGAAAGATTTGTAATGTTTAGAATTAGTTTTGAATTTTTCATTCGATTATAAAAGCATTTTTTTTTTGGTACTTCATTATCTCGCTAATGAAAAGTAAATCAATTTTTTTGAAAAATCTAGATATGCTCAGATAAAAATTTTTGAATAGAAATTTTTAGGTATTTCAGACAGTGTTTTATCCAGAGGGGTGCCCGGGGGGGGGGGGGGCGCCGCCCCCCCCCCCCCCCGAAAATAATTTTTCGCCCCCTCGGAAATTCAAATCGCCCCTCCGGAGAAAAAATCCTGGACAAAACACTGGCTACGAAGGTCCTAACATAGAATATTCACTCATTTTTCGATTATTTAAAGAAAAATGGATTAAAAATGTGGACAAATATTTATTCTGCTCTTTTAGATCAATTCATTTTTTTCTTCCTTTACAAGGTGAATAGAAAGAGTGTATCTCTGAAATTAAAAAATCGACCTCCACTTAAAGTGCTCTCAATCATAATCAATCAATTGAGATACAAATAAAACATTTTTCTATTACAGTTACTTCTCGTTAAAATCAATTCATATATTCATTTAAAAGAATATTAGTCGTGACAATGTTATTAAAAAAAAACAAGATAATTTTAGAATAAAAGCCGTTATTTCGATTTTTTTCATTAACACAAAAAATAACTAATTATAGTTTTAGCTACGTTGAATGATAATTATTTTTATTAGTCTTTTTGTGTTGATTATGTTTTTACTAAACGTTTATCTTATTTTTCTCCCATAAAATGTTATTATTTCATACAATCAATTAGAAAAAAAGTTAGAGTTTTTTGGGTCTTCTAGCATATTCTTCAAATCTTTGTTGAGTTTTCACTATTGAAACTAGTAGATGAGAACATATGATTACATCATTATTTATAAGATATGTTCGTGAAGAGAGAAAAATGAAAAACTTTCGCATATATATATACACACCTCGTGAATTATGATGACATCAACTCATATTTTGTGTTTCATCTCACATAGAACTAATTTGGTACTCAAAACACATCTCTTCCATAAAGGACATGATTTTTTACATGCTGTAAATCTATTTCTCTTAATGACATTTTATATGACTCAAGTACAAACTGCCTTGAATGTCATAAAGAACAGAAAAAATAATTGAATAGAAGCTGAGAAACTTACATTCATAGAAAAAAAAATTGAAACATGGTAGAAGAGCTAAGGAATCGCCGATTTGAGAGGTGGAGGGTCTCCTAATATGTATAGAGGCTTTAATAAATATGGTGTTTTTTTTATCGTCATCAACATAATTTTGTTTTGACTAGAGTAAAAAATAAAATATGCACAAAATCCAGACTTATTTTTAATTATGTTTAATGTGACAACTTATACATCACTTCCTCGCTCGAGTAGAAGAAAAATTTTCAAACTTTCTTTTTTTTGGTCGGAAGAGATTAGGTACGATTTTAATTACCTGTAATCCGTTATAAGAAAACAAGAAAAATTTTCTGAATCACAAGAAGAAATGGAAGATAAATCGAATATTACCACTGACAATATTTCATTAAATACCAGTAAATTATTTTCTATGCATATTACTTTATTAAATATTGTTTGTAGACGTCAACAATGATGATATTCATGAAAATTTATCATCCTCAAACAATTATATTGATTTTCTACAATCAAATGATGATGACAATGAGAAAACATCTGAACTGATCGCTGAACAAGCAGGTCAGTTTGTCAATTCGAAAAATAATATATTCAGTTTTCCGATTCATTTAGATGCTCTTATCAATGAGGGACATTTGACTAATACACACATTCTTGGACTGATACAAACTAGAGTTTTATCCATTCCAAATGTTGATAATCAAAATATTGACAATATCAATAACAACATTATCTCAGAAGTAAATTCACAACTCGCTAGTACTAGTGTTCAACCATGTGTACAATCAATAATACGTATGATAATGATATGATTTATATCAAAATTTATTTTTCTTAATCTATTGAAGTTGATTCAGAACTTAATGTGAATCACACAACTACAGACAATAATCAACAACAAATAAAAAAGAAAAAACATATTATGATTAGTTATAATCATGCATCAGCATCAGATATTGCACAAAAAATCTATGATCATCTCACGGTAAATAATTCTCAAGAGTTAGTTTTTAATCGTATAACGTACATCTATCTCAATCAGATTATCAATAACATGATTCTTTATAACTTCACAAAAAATATTTTTTATGAAAGAAAAAAAAAGAAAATAAATATCAAACTATAATTTTATTAATTGAATTATAAATTAAAGAATTCGCTGTTATTTTTTTAAGACAATATTTTTTTACTAATGAATAAATAAGTTTCAGTAGTTCTAATATTGATTTACAAAAAAACAAAATAATGATACTTCTTTTTGTCTTTAAAAACATTAATCTTGATTTGTATGAATAGGAAAGACATTATAATGTATGGTTCGACAAGAAAGATTTACATGGTAGTGTACTTGATAGCATGGGTGAAGCAGTCGAAAATTCTTATGTTGTTCTTCTATGTATGACTGATGGTTATTCTAAAAGTGCCTTTTGTACAAAAGGTAAGCTGTTCAATATTTGTTAATATCAATGTAATAATAATAGAATCTATTTATTAGAAGCTAAATATGCTGTTGAAAAAAAAATTCCTGTTATTCCTTGTATGGTTGAAAAAACATTTCGTCCATCCGGTGGTCTTGGTATCATTAAATCTGATCTCAAACATATTAAATTGTTTGATGAAGATAAATTTGATGAAAACTTCGAAGAATTAATTGATGAAATCAATGCAATTGAAATAGGATTAGGCATGAAATCTGGTAAATGATACTTCTTTTTTTCTCGTAAAGAAATATTTACATACATTTATTTTATTCTATTGAATATAGCAGCACCTATTATGGATATAGATTTTCGTGATCATTTCAATGCTTTTATTTCTGAGCATATAGAATCTATTAGAAATTGTCATCTTCATCGAGAAAATCTCACTGAGAATGAATTCGGTACAATTCTCTATAAACTTATTCAAGCATTTTCTCCGGAAACTTTAGAATCGTTTCAAAACGATCAATCTAACAGTGTTGATACAAGACAATTAGAAACACATGATAATAATCATCTTATTCAACATCTTCTAGAAAATGATAAAAAATTAACAGAATTAGTTCGAATTCAAGAAGAAATTTATGCTCGTAATCAACAATATCTTCTCGAATATGATGAACGAATAGCAGCATTTATTCGTTTTCAAGAACAAACTAATAAAAATTTTATGCAACAACAAATAAATCAAAATGAACATTTGTCATCACTTATTCATGTTCAAGAAGAACAACAGCGAAATTATGCTTATCTACAACAATCACAACTTTTCAATCAAAATCAACAATCAATACAACTTGAATATAGACAACAAGACCAAGAAAAAAATGATCGTATCTCAGAACAACTTATACAACATATTCAACAATTGACAGAACTTATTGTCAAACAACAGCAACAACATGCCAAAGATACTGAATCTTTGCATCAATTAGTTAACCAATCATTAGAGAACAATAATCAATATTTTTCATTACTTCATGTACAACACCGGCAAGCAAATCAATTCGATTTCAATCTATTCATGAAATTGGTCCAAACTATTATATTACTGTGTACTTTGCTAGCAGTTCTAAAAAAATGAATAAACATTCAATACTGTGTCGTACATCTATTTGAGTAATTTTTATAATACATACATCAGGCATACTTGCAATGATTGTTTTTGAACGAGATAGCAAGTAAAGGAAATCTAACCTATATAAAACTTTTTAACATCTACATATGTTTCTTGAATGAAAAAAAACAAAGGATCATTTTCGCATCAGCGATGTGCAGGACAAGCTATTTTAGCAACTCATGTACAAGTTATGATCGATACAATTGATCAACACAATAGAATCCATTTTTAAACTTAGTTCGCTTACGTAATTGTAATCTATTCGAATCAAGTAAAGTGAAACTCCAAGAACTGATCAAATGAAAAAGAACCTTCAGATTGTTAATATGATAAAAGCAATTGATATCCGTTATTTTTATAGTTAGGCCGTTCGCAATAATCAAAATGTGTATATGTTATGATATAATTATATATTCGAAGTATATCCTATCATGATTAGCTTCTAGAATTTTCTTTTTGTAAAGTTTCGTTATGTATATTTTATCATCAAATGAAGGAGATTAAGCTGAAGGTAAGGGTAAAATGACATTCATGGTGATGTATCAACTTTGGTTGAAGATTAAGTCTTCTAATCTATAGCTTTTTTTGGTACAGTTAAAATGTATTATATACTATTATTTTTCTGATAATTGAACATACACGAAAATCTTCTAATTTTCAATCATGTTTTATGTAAAAGTTGAACTTTAAGAAAAAATTCATCTAAAATTTAAAAAATAATGCGATGCACAGCGAAATTTGTTGTAGTCCGACAAAATCCACTGAATAGAATGTTGATAGCATATTTATTCAGCCTAAATATATAGTGTTGATGAAACTACTTAATAGTGAGTTACCGACATACTGATACTTGCGTCCGCTCTAAAATTTAGAAAGTAATTCTATTAAAATACGCTCTTTTCTGTAGCAATGTATTTCAATAGTTCAGTACATACTAACTGTACAAGATCGGTGATCAATAAACGGAAATTGCAAATCTTTAATAAATACTTTGTTTTTCAATTTTTTCTATCAAAAATCATTCTTCATAGATTTTGTTCAATCATTTCGATTCGAGTTAAATAATATATTTATACTCATTGCTTTTATGAACTTAATAATCTGCAATACAAGAGTTATTCAGAAGTTTCTCAGACTAATTTTATTTAAAAACAAAAAAGAAGCATTACTACTTCAATATTGATGTCAGAAGCATTTATGTCCAGACACAACAATAGTTTCTTGATTACTCTATGAGTATGTGATGGCAGTTTATAATGATCGACACTATATTGTATTTTTAAAGATGGACAATAAAATATTGACGATGATTCTTGATATGAATAATGCGAATATTAAAAGTGTCAGAAGCTTATTCATACACGCAATTCAATGAAAAGCGAATACTTTTAACAATTCAAATGTATCACACATGTCCAAGTACATATGACTAAAGTCTATTCAAGATGAATATCATATTCTAATAGCATCTGAAAAACTATACATCATTGATAATATTAAGATAAGAGCTTTTAAACAATCAATTCAGTCAATTGTAAAAAATTTGAAATTTTCATGTTGTCTTTAAAGAAGAAGAAGAATTATGACTATGATATATAAAAATTGATAATTTTACGCTTACTCATTTTGATATATATATATATATATGTGATAAGACAACTTATGTTAAATATTACGCATAAAAATGATAATAAAATGTCACCTGTATTGTAAGTTCTCTATGACATATCTTTTAACACATAGAATTTTATCTATGAATTAATGTTTAGATTTTACATTGATTAAATAAATCTTTATAAATATAATTATTAATTCATATAAAATGTGATCAAATTTTAAATTCGAATATATTCGATAATATTGAAACTATATTATATTACTCTTTTTTTTTTGTTGTTGTAACGTTGATGATCTCAATTTTTGCATATATAAATAAATTTCACTTAAGAAAGCATTTCGAAAAAAAAAAAAAACTTTTCACTTAACAATTCAATTTTTATTTAAAAGATTATATAATCTTTTTAAATGAATTCATTTCTAAGTATCTGCATATTATTATTATTCTTATGTTATATTGTTGTTTTTTCTTATCATCTACTTCATGTCGATATATCGAACAGCCAACCTTTCATTTGAATATATATTGTCATTTTTCTTCTTCTTTATAGAGTATGTCTCTAAACGGACAAATAATAATATCGTTGCATCTTGTTGATTTCTTTTTCTAAATTATTAGTCTGAAGTAGAAAATGTAAGGCTATACAACAAAAAAAAAAAAAGAAGGAAGGGAGTGTTTTGTATCGATTGACAATTCTCTCATTGATGTTTTAGTATGAAGGAAGCCAATATAGAGAATTGATCTAAAGTGTTTTTTTGAACATTAATTATACAATAATTTGCTTCATTTTAGTTTCAATATATTAAAAATTATTCAAACGAATAACAACAACAACAAAAGGTATATAAATTTTTATTTCTTTCAAATTCTTTCTTTTTTTCTTGTCTGTATGTTTCAATTTTTGTTTGCATATACATACATCATTTCTTTTGTTGTTTTGATTTATTTATCAAGAGAAAAGACGAGAGAAAGAGAGAAAAAAAATAAAAAAAAAGGAAAAATGAATGAAGTAAGATGTTCGTGATTGTCAAGGTTGGTTTATATTTATTTTCTTTGAGGTTTTGAATAATCATGATCATAATATTAAATTAATAAAACAAACAGATAGAATAACTGGATCGAAGAAAAACTTATTACCAATCAACATTCATCATCACAAGAAGTATAAAAATTTATTTATTAAGAAATAGAAAATTATTATTATTCTTCATAATAGATTACAAATGAATATCATGAAGAATTAAGAATAAATTTAAAAAAAAAATACAAATACAATGGAAAATATTATTCAACAAAATCCAATTTTATCTCAATCGAATCAAGATTCACGATTAAATCGTTCATTAGAAACAAGTCAAGTTGTTGCGGTTGCTGCATCTATTAATTTAAAAGTATAAAGTCTTTTGAAAATAATAGAATTTTTTTTCTTGTTATAAATTATGTACTTTTAAATATTATTGTTGTAGAATCTTCTTTCTTATCAAGATGTTATGAATGCCATTGAACGTGATTATCATTTACATGAAGGACAAGAACGTGAAATAATTATGAAATTATGGTTAAAAGGACAAACAATGATTGCAATTTTACAACGTTTTAGATATTTATTACAAGATCTTAATATAGATGATAAAGATTTTTCTGAAGGATTAAAAGTTTGTATAAATAATATTCACAATAATTTATTCAATATTTACAAAGAAAAAAAAAAAGATTTCTATTAATACATATTTAACTATTGTTTATTCAAAATATGATTAGATTTTTTTCTGCTACATAAAACATATTCATATTTTCTTAAACAAAAAAAAAAAAAGGGGTTATAACTAATATGTTTTTATGTATTCGAAATACATATATATATATATATTTTTTGTTGTACTATTATTCTGAAGTATGTGTATGGGAATGAGATTTAATTTCTACATATTGTTATTGCATTCTTTAAACACTTGTAAGATATCTTTCTCAGACGGCTATTCTATTTATATGTAATAAGTATCTTGTTGATATTTTTTTCTTTTTTTGATCTAGAGATCGATTACATTTGAATTGTTTTTTTTTTTTTTGTTTTTATTTAGCAAATACGTGAAAAACTAAATTATGCTCATCGTGATGTATATTATCTTCAAGAAAAAAATCTTATACTTGAAAATCAAAATCATTTTCTTGAAAATGAATTTAAACGACAATTAGATAAAATAGTTGAAGAAAAAAATGAACATATTAATCGACTTATACATATTATTGATCAAACATATACACGATCAACTCAAATAAATAATCATATTAATGATGAATATTATTCATCAAGTAAATAAATACAATAAATTTGATTATATTCTAAAAGTTAAAATAATAGACATCAAATATTTTATTTGTAGAAAAAAAAAAATCTAATGATCATATTATTTTTTTTTTGCTTTCCTATGAAACCTTTTTACTATTCAACAAAATGGATTCTATATGTAATTGAGAATAAGAATAAGTATATTTTATGTATAGGTTATAATAATGAAAAATTCAAAGTCTCATCTAAATCTAAATTTTAACCAAGTTATGAATTGAAGTATACTTTTACATATCTCATTATACAAAATAAACTAACCTTGTGATTACTATTGATCAAGGTAATTTCGATTAATTGGAGAATTTTTCCTACAGTTAACAAGCTTCAAATATAATCAAATTATAACAATAGAAACAAGGATAATTTGATATCGAATTTTGTTTTTTTCGATTAGTAAAATCTTTATTAGAGCTCATCGGATTAATTTCGAACTCGAGATTTTTACTATTGTTTGATTCTGTCATTACATTTCAAAATATATTTTGTAAACTTTTTTTATGATTGTTAAAAACAAAATTTCTCTTTTTTCATTTTATTGTTTATAGTTTTGATTGAAATATGTAAAATATCGATATATTTAATTTCTTATAGTCATATATATACTAGCAGTAAGATTAAATCTAAAAACCTATTGCAAATTTGAAGTTAATGTTATAATAAACATTAAGATTAATCACAAAATAAATATTCAATTTTTTTTTCATAAGAGTTATGCTTCTGCATAAGAACATACATCAATTAGTTAAATTCCCGTACTTAGAATTTTGTTTAGAATAAAGCAATGAAATAAAATAGGTTAAATATGAGTCAAAACTATATAACATTTATTAATGTTCATTTCAGAGTTAAATGGCCGTGGGCATTTTTTGAATAACTTTTGATAGGAACGAGATAGAAATCTCCGATTTTCACCGTTGGAAAGAACAGATAAACTCGCATAACTATTTTCCTATAGGTTTAGTCAAAAGTTTTCAAAGAATTGCTTGTTTTCTCCTATGTTAAAAAAGTGGCTTTTCTATCAAAATACGACAAAAATTTACATTTTTCGATTATTTTGTTGAAAAAAATGAGGTGATAAATTGTGTTCCGATGATTTACATATCATACTGGTAGTAGTTAGGAACAGCGTCTTGATATAGTTTTGTAGCTCTTCCTTGGACGATTCTAGAGCACTCCTGAAAATCAATAAATTGATATCGTGACCACGAGAAGCATGCTGTTTTTCTTGAAGTTTTATATAAAACCTATAGGAAAGTATTTAGAAAAATCTTTCTATATATAATTCGATGCGTCTTCATCTGTTCTTTCCAACGGTGAAAACCGGAGATCTCTATCTCATTTCTGTCAAAAGTTATTCAAAAAATGCTCACGGCCATTTAACTCTGAAATGGACATTAGTTACATGTAGTAATAATAATGTCGTAGTTGATGGTTTCTTCTATTGTATTCTTTTTATTGTTGTTTATCGAATAACAAAGAAGATATATCTTTAGTAAAAACTATCGTATATCGAACTTCTCAACTATTATTATAATTAGTTGTACGGATTCGTCTGAGGTTAAACAATAAGATCGAATGAGACAGTTATTACTTAAGTTCATTTACTAACGAAAGAAATCCTTCAATGAATTAAACACTAAAGATATACGAACTATAGTTTTGATGATGGACATAAGAAGAGAAGAACAAAAAAAATTCTCGGTTAGAATTAAAGATCATTATTAAACGGAGAATGTTATATTCTTACGGTAGGCTTATAATTCAATATCGTAGTTCCCTTTTTCCTGTTAAGTTACTTCTAATTTTAGCAATTCTTTCTTTTTGTTAAATGTAAATTTATCATTCCTAGAAAAAAATTGATATTTGATATCAAAATTATAGTAAAAAATTGTCTATAGAAGATCTTTGCTTCATTCTTATTATCTTCTAATGATATTAAAATACTGATAAATATATGTTGACTTGCATAGTTTTGAGATAAAACATTCACTTTTATTCTCAGATATATTCTAACAAATATAATAATATTAATTTATCATTTTCTTAAATATGAAAAAGACTAAATTTTTTTTGTTTTTTGTATTTTGAAACTTTTCATAGAGAATAGAAATACTTAATTAATTCAATTCTATATTTTATTAGAAGCTGAAGACTTATCAAAAAAATTTATGGAACAAAATATTGAATTACAACATGAAATTGAAACATTTCGTTCTAAACTTGATTATATTGTAACATATATTAATCAAAAATTGGATCAACAAAAAACAACAACAACAACAACATCATCATCATCTTTATCTATACATCAATTAGTATTTGAAACTATGCAACAAACAGAAATGAAATTACTTGAATTTAAATTAAAATTTATTTCACAACAAGAAGAAAATGATCTTTTAAAATATTTAGTATGTATTATTAAAATTTTGAAAACAAAAAAAAAACGTAAAATTTAATTTAAATAATGATTAGATGGAAAAATCACAAAATATATCAGATATTGAACAAACAAAATTATTTTCTATTATTCAACAACGTTCACTTGAACGTGAAATTGATCTTGTTCGTCAAGAACTTGAAATTACAGAGAAAAAAACTATTCAATTTGAACAAACAGTATAACTACATTCTTTTTTCTTTGGATTAATATTCAAATTATTCATAATTTTTTTTAGTTTGATAATTCAGATGAAGGAATTAAATTTCATATGGAAAATCTTAAATTAAAATGTGATGTATTACATAAACATATTCTAACATGTAGTCAACGATTAGATGAAATTAATAAACAAAATCTTATGAAATTAACAAATGAAAATCAAATATTAAAGTATAGACACAAACAAAAAAACATTCGAATTTTATTTTTCCTATGTTTTTTTTTCGTATAGAATTAGAACTCAACATGAAGAATCAAATATTGATGTATGATGAATAAATTTCTTTTAATAAATTTCTTTATATAAATATATTTTATATTAGAATAAAAGTAATGAACTTGAATTTGAATTATTACGTTTACGTGAACGTTATAATGAAGTAATTGAACATACAAATACACTTAAATATGAATTAAATAATGCACAAAAACAATTACATGAAAAAGAAAATGAAAAAGTAAATATTAACTTATGAATATTATCAATTTTCTTGATACTTAAATATCTTATTATATTTATATAGAAACTAAGTAAAAATATATCCTAAAATAGATCGAATAAAACAATCAATCGATGATTAACAACTAGGTATCGGTGGGATCATCTTTTCTTTTTTTGATCCTGGTTTCAATTTAAAACTTTTTATTGTTTCTAGAAAAAATAAAACGACTTTTCTTATAATCTGTATGATTTTTTGAATATATATAAAATGAATATTGATGATTTTGAGAAATTAACAATCCCAGGTCGAAGATTCCGGTCACCGTATCCTGCACGAAAACACTGAAAGTCGCCGGAACAGGGTGGCAGTATTCCGGCCGGAAAAGTTTCGGATTTTTTCCGGACAATTTTCTGAAGAAAACGGGAGAAATTTGATCGGAAGTCACAGAAAAGTGTCCGGCCGGAATACTGCCACCCTGTTCCAATAACTTCCAGTGTTTTTCTGCCGGAACCCACTAGTACTTCTCGACCTGAGCATAAATAAATAAAAAAGGTCTATTTGTAGTTCATTAGTCAGAACAGAATAATAAATATGAAAATAGGTAGTCTAGTTCTGGAACAGAAAACATTACGGAACCAGTTTGTAGATCTCTATTAGCAACAGTAATTATATCATGTAATCGCACAAAGATTACATTAACAGATTTCTTTTATCAAATTTAAAGTAAAAAAAAAAAAAGTCAAGGTAATCATTTTGATCGGAAATGTTATTGCTAAAAGTTCTTATCATAAGTGGTTCACATATTGTAATAAAAGAAAAAAAACTCCTGAAAGTGCCGATGGCGCAAGACGCCATCATATTGAATGCCGCCGACATACGTGAAATCACTCTCACAATTCATTACAATGAATACCGACTTAATATTATTTAATAAACAAAAAATGAAAACATTCCTAAAGCAAAACGTTTCAAATTTGAGTACCATTAGAACTCTTCAAAAGTGCTCAGTTTCTATTTTCGTCTTTCTAACAATTAATTAATTGCACGTTATGTTTTTTTTTAATTAGAGGTAAATCAGTTCGTGTTGCACATGATTTAATGTCGTAAGCTATTAATATAAAAAATATCGACAAGATGTTATATCAAATACTGTTGTTGTTATATAAAATTGTTTTGTTTTTTTATCTAATTAGTCAATATTGTTTATCAAAGTATCATTTATGTTACTCACATGATGGAAATTGTATGTTATTATTCATGTCATAATGAGAAAATTTTATCGTATATATAGACATGATTTATTTTCTGTCAAGAGCAAATTATTTTGTTTTTTTTGTTTAAAATTTTATATGTTTTAATTAATATATTTATTAATAAAATATAGATTGAACCAAATTTAAATGTTGATTTGGAAAAAGAACGACGACGTGCAGATGAATTTGAAAATGATTATAAATCTTTAAAAATAAAATATGATGATGTATGTGAACGTATTCATACAGCTACACATCAATTAGAACATGTACAAATTGTACTTGAAGAAACATCACGTCGTTGTGAACAATTAGAAAAAGAAAAGGTAAAGAAAAAAACACAACAAAAAATAATAATAATAATAATAATAATAATTTCATTCTCTTACATATCGCGTACATATTATTCTATGATTCGACTAGTTCAGCTACGGAAAAAATTGGTATTAATACATATGATTTATTATTGCTTCTCCTTTTTTTTTCTCTTCGTGTTTTTCTATTCACTATTAAATTTCTTAGATAAAATATTTCCATAAGCACATTTTTCTGCACTTATTTTTTTTCCTTTTATCTTATATATAATACTCCTCTAGACTGAGACGATGAATCCAACATAATTATTTATATATAGATTAAAATAATTTTTTATTGTCATTTGTTTTTTTTTCTAGTGTGAAATTAATGCTCAATCTGAATATCTTTCACAAAATGTTCTTAATGTAACATCAAAATATAAAGATAAATTAAATACAATTAAAGTTCGTTTGTAAGTCTTTATTTAGAATCCCAAAAAAAAAAAAAGAACAAGATTAAAGAAATTTTGATTATTATTATTATAGAGAACAAGCAGAACGTGAAAGACGTGAAGTACAACTTCGTAATGAACAATTTCAAAATGATATTGAACGTCTTAAAGATGAATTATTACATAAAAAAGAACTTATTTTTGAAAAAGAAAAAATTATTCAAGATACACAATATAAAAATCGAGAAATTCTTCTTGAAAGACAATCAATTGAAGAACGAATATCAAATGAATATAAAAGATTAAATGAACTTGTTGATAAGTATGTTAATTCAATCTTGAAATTTACTAACATATTATATTAAAGCAAAAGTTTACCATAGTACACAAAATTCTATTTCGAATAAAAAAAAACCCAGCAGACGGTATGAGTGTTAGAATCCATCGTGTTGGTCTCGTACTGAACCTAGTCCAGTGTTGAGACTGAATCAATATCTCCACATAAAATGCAATATATCTAAAAAGGAATAACCCGAAATGAGACTCCAGTGATAACGTAGGAATCAGAGATGAGTGAGGTGCGCTGCAACACCGCACTGCTAGATTTCGCGGTTCCCTCGCGGAAGACAGCAGTATTCGACGGCTGAAAAATAGGAATTCTGAATCTATCGAGGAATGATTAGTTCCGCTGTAATAAGTCTAAGAAAAATTAGAATCGACCATTGGTTGCTCCATAGTCACACGATTCATGAAAGTTGTGATAATGCTTTTTTTTAAAACAGTTTGTACATGTAATTACTTCTTTCATAACTTCTCAAGTGAAAATGAGTCTCAGAGCAAAAAGTATCGTGCATATTCTATATTTTTAGCTTTAATATTCACCGAACTGCAGGGGAACTGATGCGGAATTACTATTTCTTAGTCCTTGGACACCTTTTCCGTATTAACACCCACGCCTATGCTCCTTCTTTATACGCATTGGAATTATGTAATATCATATCATGAAATAAAAAAGTATTTATGAGGAATGACTACAAAATTATGGTCCGTAAAAATACATTATTGGTAGGCGGGACGATGACAGTGCGCGTTTTTAGCCGCTCCGCCAGTGTTCTATCCAGGTTTCTTTTCTCCGGAGGGGCGATTTGAAATTCCGGGAGGGCGAAAAATTTTTTTCGGCAGCCGGGGGGCAAGCCATATAGTTCATCGCGCGATGATCGCGAGTCGCATCCCTCTGGATAAAACACTGCGCTCCGCTCATCTCTGGTAGGAATCTATTGAGACTAGAAGAATTCTTCTTTATGCACTACCCTTTTTGAGTTATGGCCATTACACTGAATCGTTTATCTTGGGCACGATATTTGTATTAGCAGGAGATTATAATGATTTCAAGAGCTGTCTATGCGCGAACCTTTAGACCAAAACTCGTTTGTCCGAAAATCATGCCAAAGATAAAAGATCCAGTGTGATAGTCATAAATTCAAAAAGGCAGTGCCTAAGGAAGAATTCTTCTAGTTTCAATAGGTCATACATAGTGATTTATCTATGGTCGAATCTCACTTTGGTGGCTAGCATATAAATATATATATTAATTTTGTATTAGGAATAGTCATTTGGAAGAAGAATTAGATCGTATTCGACGAAATCAACTATCTGAAAATCTTATTGCTCGACAGTAAATGAAAATTTTATTATATAAAAAAATTTTCTATAATATTATTTTTATGTTCATTTTTCTAGAATGGAAGTTGTTAATGATTCATCTAAACAAATTGAAGAATTAAAATTAAAAGTAAATATTTAATTTAAAAAAACAAAAAAAAAAAAGAATTTTTTTATATTTTCGTATATAATATAATTAATTTTTTATTTAGATTGATGAATTTGAACAACGTTTTATAGAAGAAAAAACATCAAAAGAATCTTTACAAGTTCAAATGAAAATACTCGAAGAAGAAAATACAGATCTTCGAGAAATAATGAATCAAATGAGAAAACGAGCACAATATGGTCGAAAGTAATTAATTCTAACATAATTTCTTTTTTATTTTTCATATTAAATAACCATCATCGGTCTAATAAACATAAACAGTAGAAGAAAAAAAAATTCATAGAACTTCACTAACAAAAATATGAAAATAATTTCTCATTCTTGATAAAATTCTGCTACATTTAAGTCTCAATCATATCTAGGTTATTCAAGTATTTACAGTAGATATTGAAATTACTCAACAAGATTTTTTGTTTTTCATTAAGTTCAAATAATAACTTAAATTCTCAAAGACTAGATCTCTAGGAAATCAAAACTCTCGATAAAGGAAATAGAAAAATAAATTTTGCATCTCAGTCAAAAAAAAAAAAGAAACATTCTAAAGAATTCTTTAATCTAAATACAATTGATAAGCATAATCTTGATGTAAATAGAATCAAATAATCATTATATTTCGTTTGTTCTATATGTTTTTAATGCAAAATCATTATAGAATGGCAATTAGTTTTTATTTTTTTATCTATTTAAATTTGTGAATAGATATTGCAAAAGTATTTGAAATTTTAATAAAATTCATGATTCAAAGTTTACTATTTTTTACATCATACTAATAAATAGATATAAAATAATTATTTTTTCAAATTGAAAATTGTAGTTGTTGGTAAATCTTTTTGAGACTAAAAATAATATTTTTTTCCGAGAAAAAAAAACTAATGAAACATGCTTATTACAATGTTATTTTTAGTCATTAAAAGTATTCAAAAAAAATTTTCAATTACTCTAATATATTTAATTTGAAGTTCTTCTAAAAAAAAGAAACTTTCTAAAAGATATAATAAAACCAATTCATCATTAGTTTTCACTTAATTGAAAAAAAAAACATTATGTTAATAGAAAAAGAAAAAGAAAGACTACAGCAAAATTGAACCTGTTAATTAATAAATAAAACTCGTCAAATTTTATCTCTATGAAATAGAATTGTAAAGAATATGTTCTATATAAATCAGTTATAAACCCACATTCTATGTACCCAGTAGAGAGCTGCGGGTCCGGGTCTGAAAATTTAGCTTTTCCCGGGTCCGGGTCTAAACGTAAGAGAAAAGTCAGACCCATTCTGCATTAAGTTATGAATGGAAATATATAACAAGAACAATTGAAGTCAACAAAATTGAAAAAGAAACAGTCAGAAATAATTTTACACTCATTTTATCTTTAAAGTCGCCAATAAAGAGCTAAAATTGTGTTCCCTTTTCTGTTCATGTACACATAGGGTGCCAAATATTGGTGAAAAAAGGATCGGGTCTAGACCCGGCCGGGTCCGGGTCTGAAAATTTAGTTTTTCTGGGTCCCGGTTCCAAAAAAACATGGACCCGCAGCTCTCTAGTACCTAGACTTTTAGCTTCTTAATTATATGTCCTTGTCTATGTATACAAATGATTATCAATAGATAACATACATATAAATATTTTTCATAATAACTCTCACATAAATGGCAAAAAAACTTATAGGTCATTATGTATCTCATTAGTAGTTGTTTTTTTTTCAGTAATTTTGACAATCGTATCTATATTGATCTGTTTACTGTCTTATTTTTTTTTTACCAACGTAATATATGTTTTTAATTTTGAGAACATTTTTTTTGCATCTAAAGTATAATTTTTTTTTTTTTTTGAAAGAATACTCTTTCAAACATAAAAAATAGCCTTTATTAGTAATAATAAGATCTTTAATCAATAAATATCTAATATATATATATATATTTATTATTCATAAATGATCTGTTCACATAATGTTAATATTCGATTATAAATATTTGATAAAATTGCAAAAAACAAAAATTTTTATTAAAAAAAAATATTTTATAATAATATTTTTTTTGTTTTGTTATTTATAGAGAAGAAAAAGATCGTAATGGTGAAATTCAACAATTAATTGCACGTGCAGAATTTAATGCTCGTCAATATATGACAGCTCTTAATTTAACAAGTTTTACATCACAAGCTGCATTAGTGAAGATAATGCCATTATCTTCAACAACAAAAATTTCATAATAATATATTCTTCAAATAAAATATATGTATTACTGTGCAATTTTAGTTAAAGAAAAAAAAGACACTATTTAAGAGACACATTGTTGTGAATTATTCTTATCTTTTTTTTTTCTTCTTATTAGCTTATATAATATATGTGAAAAAGTTGACTTGTAATTTTTTTTGTTATTATATGTTTCATATATAATTAGATTAAATAAATAATTGTGATTTTCGAAATTAAATATTGAAAAATTATGCAGAACTCTTATATATGATATTATCATTATTGAAATGAAAACTCACAAAACATAAGAGAACATTCATTTTAATGTATACATTTTCAAATGAACTTCTTATTTATTATCAAGTATTCATCTAATCATATGCATTAAGAGGAAATATATTATATGATTAATTCAAACTATCTTACAATATTATTAAATAGAAAAAATTGATAATTTATTCTAGTAAAAATCATTTCAAACAAACATCGATCATAACAAAACTTTCAATGTTATTTTAACATTAGAAATAATATATGTACATTGTAGTGATTAAATTGATTACTGTTATTTTGTGTGTGTGTGTGTTCAATCGAATTTATTTTCTAATCAAACGAGGAAATCCCTTAACTATCTTATGAGACACATTAAACATGTTATCATACGATGTAGATCATGATGAAATTGAAAAATGTTTTTTTTCTTTTTTTGGAATTCTTTTATTATTATTTAGAATCAAGGGTATCTCGAAACGTTCCTTTTGCCTCTTGACACACCTATTGAGAATTCTCATTTTAATAAATCTTTAAAATATCTTGTGTTTGAATTTTTGATTAAAAAAAAAAAGAAAGAACATGTCTTTAATTCTAAATGATTTAAAATCTTTTATAACTAATATAGAATCAATAGAGGTAATTCTCTCGTGAGAAAATATTATTAAAAAAAAAAAACACTAATCCTATGGTTTTCTTTTCTTTTGATTATTAACATGAAAGACTTGAACTCAATATAAATTATCCACTTTATTAAATGAGTATTTATCAATTGCTAATAAAAATTCAACATTCTTTTCTTTTTATTAATGCACGATCGATATTGACATTTATGTTTCATATTATCAATCAACTTAAGAGAATTCAATCCTTTTCATATATATATATATCTTGATTGATCCTAAACTATTGAAAATATTCTTTATGAAAACTATCTTAGTTTTTTTTTTTTTTTTCTTTTTTATAAATAGAATAAGATGCAAACTAATCCTGTAAAGTCGAACAAAACAAAAAGAAACAAAACAAAAAAAAAAAAAAAAAAAAAGAAAACAAAAAAGTAAAAGCAAAATGCTTTTTTTGTTTAACATAATACATTAATCAATGCATTTTTTTTTCTTTTTTCTTGTTTTATGTTTTTCATTTTTTTAAAGAAAAACGCACCGATCGAACCGGACGTAGATCATATTTGTTTTAAATTATATAAGTCTAACGAGAATAAACAAGCAAAATGAGCCAATACAAGACACAAAAAAAAAAAAAAAGAAAATTACGGGACGACAAACGACGAGGAGTTAATAAGAAGAAGAAGAAGAAAAACGAGAGCCGTGCAAATTGTGTGTGACTCGGTTTACAGGCATTATGTGTATATATGGGCACAATTATGAAGAAAACAAGAAAGAAAATGACAAGCATGTATACCAACACACATCTGACAGCAACAAAAAAAAAGAAGATATAGCAAAGATGGCACGCACAATGTGGTGGTCATGTGAACAATAATAACAACATCAACAAAAAAAAGAAGCAGTAAGAACAAACGAATTTAGTAATACAATTGGTATTCATAATAGGACAAAAAAAAAACGAAAACTGACAACTAGAAACCGAGATCTCCTTCAATGGCATTAACATCAAGATCAATAGCTGCAGGATATTTATTAGAATTTAATGTACTACTTCGTGTTATTATACTACTATTAGATCCTGATGATATTGTATGACATTGAGATAAATATTGTTGTTTATTTTGTTCACCAGAACCTGTACTAAATCCTGAATCATATGACATATTTGATTCTTCATAATGAAATACATGACCGGGAGGAACATCAGTAAAATCAACTGGAGAATGTGCTGGAGAATCATAATCACATCCGCTATCTTCATCATCAACTCCAATACAATCTTGATCAGCACGTTTTGTCATCTATATAAGAAAAAAAAAGAAATATGAACGGAAATGAAATGACAATCAAAAAAAAAATCTAGTGATTTGATTCTCTTTTTTTTTTTGTTTCACTCTATATTACAACGAGCGTACTAATTGTAATTAAACAAAAAAAAAAGAAAAGGGGGAAACAGAATGAAGTCTAATTGTAGTTTCTTTTTTTTCTTCAATTGATATAATAGAAAAATTGTAAACAGGTGCGAATGTCAATCATATATTTTGTACACTATTCGTACAACATATATACAACTCAATTTGTTTATCAGATTTATTTGTTCGCTTGGGAAAAAGAAAAAAAATGAGATATTTTATATTTCTATATTATAATCATTTTTGAGTTAATTTATTTTGACAAATTCTATTATTATTATTAGTATTATTCTGCTTTTAGAAAAATTATTAATATAAATATGCATGACATACCTTCTTTGGTGAATTGCCATCAAAACTATATGTTGATTGAGTCTAAAAGAAGAAAAAAAAAGGAAATAATAAAATATGATAAATGACTCGAATCAGTTACATTTCTTTTCCTGTCTCTCTCTCTCTCTCTCTTGGGCATTGATTCAATGAGACAGCAGGAAAGAAACATGAAATGTCAGTGTATTATATTTATATACATATTATATATATATATTATGTAATCTTTCTTGCAATTCATCATTATTCATTTTTAGTTACTTATCTATCGTATTCTCTCTTCTTCTTGCTTTATTATATATGCCTTGTCAAATCTCAAAAAAAAAAAAGAAAAGAACGACAATGCATACTAACATTAATGAGAATACTCAATAATAATGAATAAAAATATTACTACTACTAATAACACTTTATATATATATATATGTATTTGAGAACAAGAAATCTGTCAACCCTTTTATATATTTTATTATAGAGAAAATTTGAAAAACACAATTTATATGTTTGTTATTGACAAATGACCTGATGATATATGTATATAATCCAAATGAATATCGAGACAGTAACAAAGAAAGTTCACACAATCAATAATGAAGAGTACATTAGCACCTTTCAGTAACATGACAACAAACGAGAATGATGGAATAATATATACATACTGAGAATCTAATAATAATGTGTGATAGAGACATTTTACGTGCTTCAATGAATAGAATCGATCACACATATATTCATGTATATATCAAAAAAAAAAAAAAAGAGGAAAGTGAGTGGCTTGAAATGTAGAATATAAACAATTGTCGTCGACAACGACGATAATGTTATGAAAGAAAGAAGAGATTCAAAAGAAAATGAAATAGTGTATTTATATTGACTGTTTGATGAAGCTCTAAATTCCATCAATGTACTTCTAATTTTCTATATTTTATATAACACGATGTCGAATAGAATATATATATATATATGAAATATTACCTGTTTCATTTTAAGTAAATCTAAATATGGTCGATGATCATCTTCACTAGCTTTCCGTTTTCGAGTGGTACTCGAACGAGTTGATATAGTTGTTGTTGTTGTTGTTAATTTATTATTAGTTTTAATTGATTCATCAGATATAAATGAATCAATTTTAACACCGGCTGATGCAGCAGCAGCACGAGTTAATGGTGGCACCGGTTTTTGTTGTATAATTGGTGTTTCTAATGAAAGTTTTTCTGTAAATGATGGTATAACTTCAGTATTATTGTTTGTTGAATTTTTTAGTTTAGTACGTGATCTTAAATTATATGGATTTTGTGTTGAATCTGATGATGGTGGACGTACAGCAACCGGTTTAATAACTTGTATACATTGTTCATTATTATTATTATTATTATTTATAGAGGATGATATATCTTTATTTAAATTAGATGTTGAACGTGTCATTTGACGACGAGGTGATGGAGTTTTTTTTATTGTTTCATTAAAATCATTTGTTGAATTTCTTGTTAATATTGAATGATGCTGTTGATGATGATTACTCATCTGAATAGAATCAAAAACAACAAATAATAAATTAATTTTCTATATATAATAGAAAAGAATTATCTATATATTAAAGAAATTATTATTGTTACTGCTATTACTTCTATAGTTGAGAGGAGTGAATGGTAATGGTAAAGAGAGAGAGGGAGAAAAAAAAAACGAGAGAAAGAGAAAAAAACGAAAAAAAAAAAAAAAAAAAAAAAAAAAAAAAAAAAAAAGATGCAGCAGATTTTCTATGTGTGTGTGTGCACATGCTGACGTTCCTACGTGTCTGCTCTGAGTTACATTGACCTCGATATCAATTCTACAAAAGAGTGTCAATACAGAGGTACATTTAGACAAAAAAAAAAAAAAAAAAAAAACTAGAATGATTAGACTTTACTTCCTCTTTGTCATATATGTACAGGTAAGATAATATAAAAATTTTTTATTTTGTCTTGAACTACAAACCTTTGTTATTGTTATTTGTGTATTATTTGTTGATATTGATCGTCGTAAATTCATTTTATTTTATTGAGAATGCACAACAAAAAAAACCAAAGAAAGAAGATAGTACCCAAAAAAAAAGATCGTTATGTTATTGTTGTGTGTTTTTTTTTTTTTTTTTTTTTTTTTTTTTTTCGAGGATAATGCGTAGTTGGATAGATGGATGAAAATAAGAAGGCAAAGTAAAGACGACGACGAAAAGGCCGATGTTACTTGTGTGCGTATGTGTGTGCGAGCACAAACAGAACAGCTGAGCGGTATGGTGGATAGATTGAGAAAGAAAAAGAACGAAAGACAGAAAAGAATAAGAAGAAGAAGAAAAAAAAAGAGAAGAATGTTGTATTCGCTATGCAACGACAAATCTCTCTCTCTCTTAGTTTTTTTGTACCGAAAAGCAATGGTAGCCGCGGGCCGCTATTTGTCAATATACATATGGAACGAACGCGTTTGCTTAAATCAATGTATAGAAAAAGAGAGAGAGAGAGAATTGGCTTCGATTCAATATTTATTCATCGTTTCTCTGCTTCCTATTTCATATTTAACTACACGATTATTATGAGGTGCTCACATATATATACACTTGAATACCTACTTGGGGAGCCTATTAAAGTAGATTATTATTTCTTTTTTTTTTTTTTTCTTTCATTCATATGTATTATTTCGCTATGGTTCATTCATCTCATTTATGTTTTCTTTTTTTTTTTTTAATGTTCGTTCATATTCATTCATGAGAAAACATTTTTCTTTTGAATAAAAAAAAAGAAAGAAAGGATATATATGTATGTATATATAATTTATCTTATAGATTCTTCTCTTCTAATTGAAATTTAATCATCCATTCAATCGTTCTCATTTTTTTTTTGTTTGTTTTAATGAATTTGAAAATTCAAATAAAAATACTGAATGAAAAACAAAACAACAAAACAAACTGAAAAAACAAAAAAAAAAAAAACATTTTCGTCTGTTCTCACTTTCAATGTCATCGCCTGCCAAGGGCACCATAGGAAAGCTTATTATCACTATAGTTTGATCGGTACAAGCTGAATGCTACTGCTGTGGACTATCACTTTTCACCAGACAGAAAACGAGAAATAACATACAACATACACATATAGAGAGCCTAATTGATGAAACACAGCATGAGAGATAAACAGCAGAAATAATAACGACCATATATTGTACATAGACGCACACAAAAAAAAAGAAAAGAACGGGAGAACAAACGATTAGAAACAAGTGAATGACTAGATCAGAAAAAAAAATTTTTTTTTTGTTAATTAAAATTTCATTGGCCATTCTGTTACAGTAATTGGATCTCGAAAATTTCCATTAAATAAAAGATCAATCCAATCTGAAAATGTTAATATTTTTTCGGATTGTTCATTATTATTACATATTGGCCAATATGAAACAAAAAATTTTCGTCTTATATATAAAGCAAGAACAGTTGATGGAAAAAATTGTATTAATTGTTGTTTTTGATTATCTTGAATATTATTTGAAAGTTTATCAAGCCATTGAATTGATTGTTGACGATAGAGAATAGAAAAAATCATATGAGAACTATAAAAAAAAAACCAAAACTTTATATTTATTTGTTAAGCTTCATTATTCATGCAATAGTATTGTGGCTTTTTTTTTTTACAATAAAAAGATTGATTCTATAAGTAGAAATATATAATCAGATTTTAGTTTGATTAGCGAGAAAAGACTTTTTCTTTTTTAATAAAAATATATATAGATTAGACTAAAGAATGTTATTGAAATATTAATCAAAAAATTTGATTTTGATTAAGATAAAAATTTTTTTTTTTTTTTCTTAATATTTGTCATATGTATTATAGAGAAAAACTTAACAGCACTTATGATTTAACCTTGGTCAACATTATTTTATATTTATTATGAAAATGACATACATATGTTGGATAATAACTAATTTTATATATGTAGATATAATAGAAAATATTCTTAATTTTAAATATTAGAAAATAAATAATTTTCTTTTAGATTTAATTTTAATTTTTTGATAAAAACAAAAAAAAAATATATATTTAATACATACTCTTTAATTGAATTAATTTTTCGAATAAAATATTTAATATATGAATCATTTGATGTTTCAGCAATAAGAACTAATATAATAACATTTGATGCACCGGGATTTATATATTTTTCTAATAGAGATTCATTAAATTCATAGATTGTTATTTGACTTAATTATTCAAAATTGAATAATAAAATATATCATTAAAACTTACAAAAACAAAAAAAATTTAATCTTACTTAGTTTTATTAGATTTTTTTATTTTAGAATTTCTATTATCTACTTCAGATCTTGAATAATACATATAAACAAAGATTAATATAGTAAACATCCAAAATTGATATGTATAAAGATATCCCGTTCTAATAAAAAAAAACAAAATAATTAACCTTTTCTAAAAGAAATTTAAAATTTACAAATAAAATCATAGTTTTATATATAGATCTATTTATGTACACACAAAATAATATCATGTGTGTAGTTTAATCTTTTTCAAAAGTTTTGAATCTGATCTCAACCACAGAGTTATAATCGATTTAGATCTAGTTGGAAAATATCTGATAGATATGACATTTATTTTTCTGATAAAAAATTGTTGATGAATGCTGATAAAACACATTTGATTCTTATCAAAAATAATGTTGTGTCAAGAACTATTAGTTTTATATATTTTTTATACTGTTTTACCTTTTAATCGAACTATATTATATTGTTTTTCTTTTTAAAGACACAATTATACTGATATCGAATTTAACTATATAAGAAATCCTCTTAAGTCTTTATATGTAGTTAATAAATAGTTTATTAAAATACTCAGATTATAGAACATATCAAATTTTTTTTTTTTCTAAGTCGATAATCTTTTCAGTAAAATAATATCATCTTAAAGATTCATATATCTTTTGAATGAAATCTAAAAAAAAAAGTAAATTAATTTACAGATATCGAAGTAATCGATTTCGTTCAATCCGAATATTCCATTGATATTCAAATTGATCGATTATTGTTATAAAAATATTCTAGAAAAATACAAAAAAAAAAAATTCGTTTTTTCTTTTTTTTTTTGTTTTTAAATTTTACTTGTTTTCGTTTATCAAATTTAATTAATTCTGGTAATTTATATTTTTGAGCATGTTGCCAATGATTATTAATAAATAATTTTAAATTTTCTTCAATATGTATCATATTACGTTGTATTTCATTTAAAGATTTTTCATCAAATTCAATATTTGTATTTTGTATTTCAATTATATTTGAAAATGATTGACGAATAACAAGAATCTTATTAAAATATATTTTTTAATAAAGAATTTTTTTTTTTGTTTTTGGGTTTTTTTTACTTACAATTAATTTTTTCTCATTCATATGATAATATGATGAAAGAATATCTTGAAATTTAACTTGTTGTGTAGATGATATATCAAGATATGCTATATGAATTTTATATTCTTGAAATAATTGTTTAGATAATGGTAGGAAAGATAATCGATATTGAGCAAATAGATTTCGATCACCAATTATTATAAAACAAGGTCTAGGAGAAATATATAGATAGTAATTTTCAAAATCGAAAGCGCTACAAACTCAAGATTTCAATGACATCTTATCAAAGGTCTATGGGTTCAATGAGCTCTACTCTAAGCCGATTTTGTAAAGACACTAATAGCAATAGAACATATTGAATTCCGAAGTTTCTAAGGAGATTTTCTTTTTTCGGTTAGAAAAGTATTATACAATTTTACTATTTTGATTGTTCGAATATACACGTTTTAATAGATGATAATAGTTATAATTAGAAAGTTATATTTAGTTAAAAACGCAAATTCAATGCTAAAAATAACATTTGATTATTCTTGTATAGAAATAAATCAAATGTATTATGCAAAACAATTTCATCTGTCAAGTATTTATAGAATTTAAGGACAAAAAAAAAAGCAAAATTTATAAATCATATTGATGAGAAAAATATTTAGAATATTATTTTCATATTTATACTTAGGAGAATTTATTTGACATATTAAATTAAATATATTTGCACTTGTAATTGTAGGTACATTTAAAAGTTGATTTAATTCAAATAATTTTTGTAAATTATCAAAAGTAAAATCATTCTAAAAAAAAATTTATTAGTTAAAAAAAAACTAAAATATGAAATTTTAAATTTACTTACATCTTTTATTATTAATTCAGGTTTATTAATATCTTCTTTAAATAATAAAATACTATCTGATATTATAGAAATTTGTTTAAGAAATGAAGGTAATGTCATAGATTTTATTAAAGCTTTTATAAAACAAAAAAATAAATAAATAAATAAATAAAAGTTTTTTTTATTTTGATACATACATGAATTAAATAAAGCACATTGTATTCTTGTTAAATATTGTAAACATGGTATAACAAATTTAAGTGTTGGTGTTTTTTGTTTAGTTATTAATAAAGCATGTACACGATTTGATTGATTATATGATTTAATCATTGTTAATATATCATCATAGGTTTGTAACTAAATATTAATAATTTGAAAATTAATTTTATATGAGAATAAAAACAAAAAAAAAAAAAACTAAATTTTTTTTTACTATTTGAATAAATCGTTTTATTGGTATTGATTTTCGTACAAATTCTTTTATATTTGCTTCAGTAAAATCCAAATCAAAATGATAAACACGACCTTGACTAATCATACATAATGATGGAATATTTATTATTCCTAATTCACTACTTAAATATTCATCATTTATATTAAATTCACCAGTACCAATACCTATGAATGATACAAAATAATTCAGAAGATTTCATATTAAACTTAATAATGGACATTATATATTGAAGTAATGCTCATTGATAATAGTAGAACTAGAACATTGACATCCTTCTTGTTTTAGTTAGCTAGTAGAAGACAATATCGACACTACATGTGATATTTTCTTCAGAATATAAAAATGATCAGAAGAGTTGTTAACAATGAAACTCGAATCCTGACTCTTCTCTTATTC